GTATTTGTTCCAATTATTAAATGTCAGTAGATAGTGAATCATAAGTTAACATAGGAACATGGAAGCCGTTTTGACCAATAAGTAATAGTTTCGACAGAAAAACATCCTACTTAAATTTGAAAAATCTCGATTTTTGAACACCCTATATCTCTGTAATCACTCCCGCTAGACCCCAAGTGTGATGCATTGATGAAATCAGCTATTCAGGAATAATCTGAAAATGCAATTAAATATAGGGTGTTCCTTTTAAAAAAATCAACTTGTACCCTGTCGATCGTTTGTTCCGAGCACCCTGTATTTTCTGATATAGCGGAAAAAAAACTTAATCAAATGATTCTTCAAATTTTGTGATCGGTTCAAAAATAACCGAGCTTTTTAGGGGGGGACATTATTGTGAATCACCCTGTACATGGAATATAATGTTAATTCATTTGATTTTGATACCTACCTACCTATCTATAGAGATAGTCTGCTAGATCTTGTAAAAACTATCCGAACGTACCTACCTAACGAATGAACGTGTTACAATAAGCACCTATATACCCGATTCACCCTGTATTCATATTTCTAATATTATTCCGTGTCCACTTACCTCATCCAAGATGTCACTAAAGGGAATTTTCTGTGCATTTTCAGCAGCTAAAGCTTGACGTTGCTTCTCGCTTATGTCCAACATGCGTTTTCACGTAAACAATGTTGCATGTACCAGTAATGATATCCATAGCCACTTTAATGGAAGCAGGACAATTTGAATTTATTTTGTTGCTGCCAGGAGTGCCAGGTATTGTAACTTGCCTCTTTCCGAGCGATGACAATAAAAATATTGAAGGTAAATTGCAACATTTTTTTATGGGCCGTGAAATTTTTCTCTACATTGAACTTCGAACTGCATCTATCACAAATAAAATTGTACACTTTCCCACTTATTTTTGATGGGAGAAGACTTCAAACAATGCCTTCTGAGACTTTGAAAACAGCTGAACGTTTTTGTACATTCTGCACAACAGTTTGATAATTCCATTTTTATAGGTACTTAGTTACGTGTGAAACGTTGACCAAACTATAACATAAATGAGTAGGTATTCTGAAAATAGTTGTATGTCAACCGACTATACACTCCTTCCATTGAAACATGATTCGGCGCCAATTAATGGTATTGGCATTTTACCTACCAATAATAATATTACATTACTGTTTCGCTCCTTCGCTCCAACGTTCGTCGGGCATGTCGATAGGTGAAGGGTGCCCGCGTCCGCGTCTCGCTTGACGCGGTTCTCCCACTACGTTGTTTATGAAAATCCTTACTTGCGGCAGACGCTAGTTAAGGTTACCTCATAGTATAGCATTATGGTGCGGGGGTGCGCGGAGGGGCGTGACGTCAGTGTTTCCCCACCACGTGATTGTAGATTTCGTTTGTGTCACTGTCAAATGAATTGAAAAAATTTTTGAATTTGAATTCGAAAGAATCGCGAATTTTACATCATAAATATCATAATATTATTGTGTGGAGTCAAGAGTGGATATAGAACAAACAAATGTTATGAAATGCCTGTTTGGCAGCCTCCACATGAGATTCAGATAATTCCAAAGGAAAATGATGAGCTGTGGCAATGTGAATGTCCCTGTGAAGCAGGCATGTCACGGTTTTGTATACACATTTTATAGGGACTTATATATTGACAGGTAGGAAGGTGCACTTTTGATCTATCACACACACAGGTAAAAAATACATGAAATTTCAGGAATGAAGACTTGGAATATGTGAAGCTGCATATATAACAAACAGAAGTGGTGAAAATTGAAAAAAGAGAGTAGATCAATCAATGATCTATTATACAGCCAAACCATTTCAATAGATCTGCTACCTGCTTATTGAAAGAAGGAGTGACCCTCTAAAATCATTCTTCCTTTAAATAATTGAAGTTAATTTTACAGGGTATATCAGTCTATTTTGTTTTTTGTTTGGAAGCCAATGAACTCAATGTAAACAACTAGCTATTGCATGGTACTCAGGAACACTGGTGAGTTTATTAAATTTTACTTATACTTGCTACTTCATTTTTACATGTAGCAAGGAGTCTTGGGAAAAAAGGCAATCAACTTCTTCTTTCCAAAGGATTTTTCAATTAAAATTGGTTCAGCATGGAGTTGAATATGAATCCAAAGCTCTTTCAAAATGTTCATTGAAAATGATATTGAATTTCAAATCATGCAAACAAATTTGTGTCCCAATATTTTCCATGGTTAGGATTTTCTCAATATGAAATTATTTTTCAGGAAGGAAGACCATGGAAATAATTGAAATAAGTGTCCTTACTGAGGTCCTTACATAGAGGTTTGTTAAATAATGTGTTACATTCAGCTTGAATTATATTCTCAAAATTTTAGGTAAAGGTTCAGAACATTTTGTGGAACAATGCCATTTCTTGATAGGAGATGGTATAAAAAATGTGAAGTTTGAAGAGAGACACACTTATTATGGATAAATTCAGTTGGGAATAATGGCCCTAAAATGTCCCTGATGAACTTGAAAGAAACTAATTTTCTTGTATGATTCTTCTTCCTCCAAAACTTACATAAAGATTCCAGTTTTTTTGTGATACATTTTGTGTTAATGTTATGAGGAAGATATCTCAAAGATATTTCCATTATGTTGCACTTTTATTGCATTAATAAAATGGAATGAATTGTGATGACTTCTTTATTAATTCATTTTCTTATTATTGCATTTTCAAACAATAATATGTTCCAAATTGATACTGAAATAAAACCAGTGAGTTAAAATCATTCAATTTATCCAGAAGGAAATCCTCTTTAGTTAATTGTTTCTTGTTTCTCAGAAATGATGGCCTAATCAATTTCAAGATATTTCTTCACATCCCTTGTCAGCATGCCCTTATCCACCATGATTTCATCATTAGGTTCAGACTTGCCAATAACATTTTCTTTATTAAAAAATGCTTTATCAGTAGTTCAACCTCCATATCCTTATTAATGCCAACAGTAATCAGTCCTAATGGAGCGGTATTGCAATAAGAATTTGACTGAGTTTCTGTAATGTGTCTGTACAACAGGAGCACTGAGGAACATAATTATCTTTCTAGATTTCTGTCTTCAGTCTTTTGTACTTGCTGCATGTTTTGGGAAAACAGTGAACAATCTCTTGGACACAAAAACACATTGGAAAACTTCAAAATTTATCAATATTCACTTGATTGCACGATGCTAAATTTGTTTGTTTTGTTTTTCACCTCCGCCATTTTCATTTTGCCGTTCGACAAAAGACGATGGGGAAACAGTGACGTCAGGCCAGGTCAATATGAGGCAACCTTATAGAGTTGAATAGCCTTGAACTGACCCTACTGCCTCCAGACGATTTGTAGTTGAATCCATTATTTGTTGTTTCATGACTAGAACGTCGAGTTCCATGCTCAGTGAATGACAATGATTATGTTCTGTTCTATGAGCTAATACCCTATTATATTTGTCATCATAAGCGCTTTGATTTTTGCCTAGTTCTTGTCGGGTGCAAATTACCTAAAATATTGGGATAAGGTTTGACAAGAATGACATTTATAATTTCAAATGTCAGGCTTGTTCAGTTTACTATACAGGGTGTTTCAAAATTCAGTATCAAGATTTTAGGGGCGTATTTTTCAGGTCAAAATAAGACGTTTTTGTCCATAAACATGTGTCCGCAAACGCTTCGTTACCGATCTACAGAGCGTTAAAGTTAAACAAATACACGATGAGACATCCACCAACTTTCAAATAATGTCAAATGCTTCAAAACAAACCTAAACGTCAAAATGAAAATAGCAGTCAAAGCCCACTAATTCGCTTTTTCATTGTTCCGTTGAAAATTTTAATTAAATGTAGCGAATCACAAAAATTGATTTTACTTTTTTCTCGATAACGATCGCAGATGCGTGAAAATTACAAGAGACAAAAAAATTTATAAACAAAAAAAAGAATTCATTTCGTATCTCAGAATTCACCAGCGGCGCACCACAAAGAAGTTTATGGGGTAAAAAAGGGCTTGACCCCTGAAAAAAATATCTCCCTGTAGATTCTCACAATCACTCGGCATGCTGGATGATGTAAGCCCTAGAACGTAACCTACATTCCAAATTTGATCTTAATATCTCAAAAATTGAAAGAGCTATGAAGAAAAAAATAAAAAAATCTTGAAACTTTAACGCTCTGTAGATCGGTAACGAAGCGTTTGCGGACACATGTTTATGGACAAAAACGTCTTATTTTGACCTGAAAAATACGCACCTAAAATCTTGATACTGAATTTTGAAACACCCTGTATATGTATATGTACTATTTTTATATAAGGCGCATCGCCTATATGATATTTCAGCAAAAATGGGACCAAAATGAAATGAGAATCCTTGAATGAGAGGTAGAGGTACTTTTTGAATCTTTAAGGACGGAAAGTGAAGGATGGAAAATTTGAAATAAGTAGCCATATTATCGTATTATTTTTTCCCTAAGTCGGCATAGATAGTAGATATATGGCAATATATGGTTTACTACCTTCTGATTCAAATCAAAATCAGTTACTTTTTGCAAACGAAATCTTGTACACTCAACAGCACAGTCAATGGTGACAGTAGTTACTCTAGTGACAGTGACAGTGACAAGTCAAATAATTCAGATGTCAGATGAATGATGATTGTCCAGTCCAGCCAGAGTGTTTTTCCAAAAGTTAAAAATTCAATTATCTTTATCTCTAAAATGCTGTAATAACCTGTAATCGTGAAAAAAATATTATACGCATTTGTGGAAAACACTGTTCTCGGGAGATAATTCAATCAATAATCTTAGGTCACTGATAAGGTCAAAATATCTTGAAATTATAACAAGCACCCCTTCTCTCTTATGTATAACTGTTTTGATGAACAATAGTATACCAGAAAAATTGTGTATGGCTCATCGTACATCTAAAGAAGAAGTGCTCCTCATGAAGATCTAGTGGGGAAAAATCTAAGATGAGCGCCACAGGTATTCTACCCACATATCAACGATTCGTAAATGGGTTACCAGTGTCCAGTAGACGATCATTTCGTGCTAGAGAAAAGTACGTTATATTGCTTGTTTTTATGACTTTTGGGCTAGTATGTTTCGGTACATTCTTCTTCCTGCCCGAATTCAAATCTGGAGGCACTGCTGAGAGTGTTTACAAAATGTACAATCAAATGAAGAAAGCAGGACCTGAATTATTAATTCCACCTCCACCTCATATGATTGACACCAGAGAGGCTGTTAAAGTAGTGAAACATGAGGAACAAGGAGAGGACCCTCATGTTATTGGTGATAGGTAAGTACCTAGTGAATTTAAAATTATAGAATCCCTTAAAGCTCTTATAATCTCATTCATATAGTGCCCAAGACATAGCTCAAAATCTATTTTTTTCTAATACATTGAAAACAATGAACTCAGCAAAGGGACCTTTGATATTTTGTGCAATTACCTCGGCAATTACCCAATTTTAAATCAGATGAGAGAAGACTCCAGAGAGGTTTTTGTCTTTGGTATCACAACTACGAGCTTGGGTACATAGCATTTGGTCAATCTATCATATCAATAATAATAAGTGATTTTCTTATTGTCTTTCATTCAGTGATAAGAGTAAATTCAGAAACTCATGGGGGATTTCAATTGTAGAGTTCAATAATTGGCAATAAATCTAACTGGTTTGCTGTTTCAAGGGAATTAGAGTGTGTTCAAAAAAGCTGAGTGAAAATTTGAGATTAGTTGATTGATTAATTCAATTTAATACAATTCATTACAATATATATCATACATGCATGGTCCATACAGATATTTCTATATGTATATTCTATGTTTAAATATATGGACCTAGGTGTAACACCTGTGTGTGCATTATTTTGTAACTCATTTAAATAACTTTCAATAATATATTTTGTTTTCTGAAAAACTGTTATTTTCAAGTCAAAAACTAATATATAAAATCTCAGTAAACACAAGGACAGTTTTTTTTTTTTTCAAAATACTACAACAACTACCTACCTATTTGATATCCAGACAAGTTCTGAATAAATTATAATTATTGTTTATGTAAACTCTACACATCTTAGAGAACATTTTATATTTATCAACATTTCTGATCTCAGTTGGCAGCATATTATAAATTCCGGGGGCTATATTCTTTGCAAACCTCTGAGTAGAGCCTTTTTGACAGAAAGGTATGGATAAATATTTCTTTGTAACTCGATGTGTCTTGAGTGAGATAAAAATGTTTGCAAACATTTGTCTTTGAAGATGAATTGACAGTTACTGAGGAAATATAGCATCCAGTATAGCATTCTGTTGCTCTCATAGAGTAGAGCTGTGGGGTATAGCCGGTCTTTATGAAATATTATCTCTAGGATATAATTTTGTATAACATTTAATGGGTTAAGTGCAATACTCATACTATTAATTACAGAGACTGGGAAACACAATCATATTAAAGTTCTGTTATTATCTCATTGTGTATCTGTTGTTTTGTTATTTCATGTATACAATTATTGTGAATCCCAAGAAATAAATGTTTTGTTATCTTTATACACATTTCCGCATATTTATATGTGAATAATATCATCAATGTGAAACCAGTCATGATTCCACCAATTATTCAAGTCACACCATCAATGAATGGTCATCTATTACTAATTACTCAACTAGCTAATTACTATAACCTCCAAATTATGTCCATGGATGGAACCTTTTTCCATGCATGTTTTCCCCTTTGGGTACTTTATAATTGGTACTGTATTACATAATATTTTGTCATGCAAGAAATCACCCATATAGACAAGTGCTGAAGCCTTTGAAAACGGTAAAATGTGAAGAAAAATCATAGTAGGATGAAACTCATTGGAAGAGAAAGAGAATATAACAAAGATGAAGGGAAGTGAGTTTTCAATGGTAAAAAACGGTTTATCTTGATTTCCAGCAAAACTACGAGCCCTATGGAAGAAAGTTGAAAAGCAAAGTTGTAGGTAATAAGGAGACCTACAACTTTTGTAATCACACTTTTTCCACATAACCTCAAAATTTATGTAAAAAATTCAAATAATCAAGTTTTTGGTTTTTTATTTTTCTTATGCCAAAAAAAATTCACATGAAATTTGGTCAAAACTTACTTCTTCCTGCCCTAAAGACACTGTGATTTTTTTAATTTGAAATATTAATTTTTTTCACCTTTTATTGACTTAATATAATAACACCATAATCTTCAATGGAAAATTCTCACATCAAAATATCAACTTTTAAAAAAAACTCGGGGCGTTTTTTGTTCCTTGAAATCTCTTCTTTCTGATAATATGAGAAAATATATACATTACTATTGTGAATTTTTTCAGAAAATGCAAACAAAAAATCTTTAATCCGAATTTTTTTTATTCACTAAGTATGTACAATTTTGAGCTATTTGACAAATTTTCACTTTAAGAGCTTGAAAAACGTAAGATTCTATTTCACATTGAGAAACAATAAAATTACAAATCCATAAATCATAAAGATTGCAAGATTCAACAAAAAAATGTGATTGCTGCAATTTTTTTCAGTCAAAAAGTTGATTTATTGAATTCTTATTACATTTATGTCATAGAAAATGAGAATCTGATAATATATGAATAAAAATGTAAATCCTACTATCGAATTTAGATACTTTATACTGATTATTATTATTCATAATAATATTTTTAAATGCATTTATCTTCTTATTTATGAATATTATCTTGAACCCTAATATTCAATAGTACGATTTACATTTCTATTCATATATCATGAGATATTCTATGACATAAATGTGATAAGAATTTAATAAATCAACTTTCTGACTGAGGAAAATTGCAGCAATCACATTTTTTTATTGAAATCCCCCCTTTAAATCCTATCTTTAATATTTTGAACAACTATTTTCGCATGTTTCATGCAATCTTTATGTAATTGAAGTGTAAATTTCACTAAATTGCTCAAAATTGTACATAGTGATTAAAAAAAATTCGGATTCGAGTTTTTTTCTTTTCTTTGCATTTTTGAGAACATTTACTATAGTAATGTATATATTTTTTTACATAATCAGAAAGAAGAGATTTCAGCGAACAAAAAATGCCCTGAGTTTTTTCAAAAAGCTGATATTTCGACATGAGAATTTCCGATTGAAAATTAGGGTGTTTTTTTCTATATCGAAGTCAAAATAAGGTGAAAAAATAAATATTTCAAATCAAAAAAATTACAGTGTCTTTAGGACATATAAAGGTAAATTTTCACCAAATTTCGTGGAAATCTTTTTTTGCTTAACACATTCGCTGTGTATAGATAATTAGGAACATCACCATGTGCCGGACATGTTTATTTTGAGTACCTGAGGTATTAAGTGCTATATATGATCTTCAATATGTTTTTTGTGGAAACTAGTAATTATCCATCAGTTATTCAAAAATCAGACTCGGACGCCTTATGGCGTCATACGCATATTACCAGAATTTCGAGGATATATACGGCGTTAGTAGGTAAAAAGGGTCAAGTAGGAAAAAATACAATAATTTGATAAAAAAACTTTATCTTTTGATGAAATTAAATGAAACCACAATTGCTACTTTTAGTAAAAACCTATTAATTTCAATGTATTCTTCATTCATATTTCAACAAGCCATAAAAATTTGTAAAACTCACGAAATTGAGAACCACTCCGACATATACTTCAGCAATGATATTGAAATGTGCGGACTGCAATACAACCGTGTCTGCCCAGTGCGGACTGAATACTAATGCAGTTGATGAGATAGATGCATGTGCGCCATAAGGCGTCACCCGCACAAAGTGGAACGGACGGATGCCGCCAATTGGCGTTATCCGCATTGAATGTGTTAAGAAAAATAAAAAACTAGAAACTTGATTATTTGAATTTTGCACATAAATTTTGACGTTATGTGAAAAAAGTGTGATGACAAAAGTTGTAGGTCTCTTTATTACCTACAACTTTGTCATTCAATATTTCTCAATAGAACTTGCCGGAAATCGAGATACACCGATTTTTACCCTTAAAACTCACCCCCTTCCACTTCCCGACCTCAGATCGCCCGTAAATTGTTTTTCCTTTCATTTGTGTCATATTCTCGTCCTTTCTCAACGGTTTTCATCCTACTATTATTTTTTTTGGTTAAAAAAATTATCGACCCTGGTCTAATAGGTGAAAATTCAGAAACAAATCATAATCACTTCAAAACACTCCTGTATGGGAGTTTTTGTATCTATCAATTTATTCCTCAATTACTTTAAGGGTCCTCAATAATCTATATATGTCTCATAATATTCTGTGGGGAAAGAATTTATATTTTTATACAAGGTGATACTAAAATAGGTGGTCAAACTTTGGGAGCATATAGAGTGGGTGAAATAGTTATGAAAACCTCTGTAACATTTTTTTCTGAAGTGATCCCCAAGAAAGATACAGTCCCTCAAAGGTGGGCCTCGGAGAATGATTTTGTATTATTATCTCCAACACCTTGTATAATGAAAATCTAACAATAGACCCATCTGGGGTCGCAGTGGAGGGGAGGTGTTCGCCTAATGAAATTCTGAAATTTTGTCTATCCACTTACTATTCAGTGCCGGTTCGAATGGAGTTAAAATCACCTCAAAATAAAATACAGGGGTGTGTCAAAATAGAGAGGTAGGGGGTGAAAATAACCCCAACGTCCCCAACCTTTTTGTTCCTCGCAATTTCAGTTTTTTGACATGAAATTATGAAATCTCAAGGCTATTTACATAGAAAAGGTGCTCTTGTTGCATCTTGATAAAATGAACTATTAGCCAATAATATTTAAAAAAAGCTTGTTCCTAATAATATTTTTATTTTAGAATTTTCAATAGGATCAGACTCGGGATCAGACCATAATCGTTGTCTATTTTCAATTCATGAATTCCGACAACGAATTCAAAATTTCCAACCCCAAAAACCCTTACAAACCAATCTTGAATCCAATCGAACCATAATCACAAATCTGGTCAGCCACATTGGAGTCGCCATATTTTTTTCTATCAAAAAGTCCATAACGCGTTGTCAACTGTCATCTGCCAGATTCCAAGTTGATCAGACGATTAGAACACACCAAAATTGCAATTTAAATGAAATCTTGGAAAAATAAATTTTATTCCCTAATGGTTCAGTTTATAGAGATTCAACAGGAGCTCCTTTTCTATGTTAATAGCCCTGAGATTTCATAATTTCATGTAAAAAAACTGAAATTGTGATGAACAAAAAGTTGGGGTTATTTTTACCCCCTACCTCCCTGTTTTGACAC